CCCAGAACTTAAAAGAAATAAAATGCATGGTGGGAGTGTAAATTAGTTCAACCATTGTGGAAGACAGTGTGGCGATTCCTCAAGGACCTAGAAATAGAAATTCCGTTTGACCCAGCAATCCTGTTACTGGGTATATATCCAAAGGATTATAAATCGTTCTATAAGGACACGTGCACACGAATGTTCATTGCAGCACTGTTTACAATAGCAAAGACCTGGAAACAACCCAAATGCCCATCGATGATAGGCTGGACAGGGAAAATGTGGTACATATACACCATGGAATATTATGCAGCCATCAAAAACGATGAGTTTGTGTCCTTTGTAGGGTCATGGATGAACCTGGAAACCATCATTCTCAGCAAACTGACACAAGAGCAGAAGATCAAACACTGCATGTTCTCACTCATAGGCGGGTGTTGAGCAATGAGAACACATGGACACAGGGAGGGGAGCACTACACACTGGGGTCTGTTGGGGGGAAATAGGAGAGGGGCAGCGGGGGGAGGGGAGAGATAGCATGGGGAGAAGTGCCAGATGTAGGTGATGGGGAGGAAGGCAGCAGATCACACTGCCACGTGTGTGCCTATGCAACAATCTTGCATGTTCTTCACATGTACCCCAAAACCTAAAATGCAATAAAATTAAAAAAAAGAAATAAAATGCAAAAAAAAAATTATAGTTGCTGTATCCTCTATCAAGGTAAAGCGAGATTCCCTTCTACTCGTAGATTAATGAAATTTTTGTTTTTAACCTGAGAGGGTGTTGAATGTTAATGGATACTTTCCCTGTGTCTGCTGACATTGTAGGACTTTGATCTTTTATTCTGCTAATGTAATAAGCTACATTTATGAACTTTGTAATATTTGGCTATAATTACATTCCCGTACATTCACTGCTAAGTCTTCTAGGATCTGATTATTTTATATATTGCTGGTCTATGTTTGCTGATGTTTTACTTAGGACTTGAGCATCTACATATATAAAAAATATTGTCCTATAATTGTCTTTGCTTGTACTATTCTACGTGTTTTTGGTATCAAGATTATATTATCATCACAAAATGAGTTTAGTAGCTTTCCTTCTTGGTTTCTGGTAGGCTGAGAGTGCCAAAAATCTCAAAATAACAACTCCAACAAGACTGAACTATATTTCTCTCTTGTGTAAATGTCTAGGGACATGGTGCAGAGTGATACAGCCCTCCACAGTGTTGGACACCTACACTCTTTCTACCCGGTGGTTCTGACATGTCTGTCTTTGCCTTACAGTCCTTAATAGAGGCATTTGGTTGCCAGGAGGCAAGACAGAGGAAGGGATGAAGAAGAGAACAAAGGATACTTGCAAGTGCTTTCTTAAAGAAGGTTCCTGGAAGCCATTCCACAACACTGCCGCTTACATCCCATTCTCCAGGATTTAGTCATGGGGCCACAGTTAGTAGAAAAGAAGGCTGGAAAATGTCATCTTGAATCTGAGTAGTCATTAATATATAATTTATAGTTAAATATAGATGGTATTCTTATGGTTATTTCCACAAGAAGTACAGAAAATAACAGACTAGATTCTAAGACTTGTTGAGTATCTACTGCGTGCTAGGGTTGAGGTAATGTTTCTAAGAAAAAATTAGATTTAACTTATAACTCTGTCAAGTATTCCAAGAACATCAGTGATTGAATTTATGAGGATTCCTTGTGTTATTTGTTTACCAACGTTTAAGCCCATGATGTACATAGCCTGGGAGAGGACATTAGGGTTATGGAGAACTGTAGAGGAAATAGTTCCCTGTTGGAGTGGAGAGGAGGCACGCACCATTAGAGAATTCAATTCTATGCATTAATGGGGGTGAAAGATAACCTGGATGATCCACCAGGGTTAAACAGGTGGCAGTATAGCTGATCAATTTAGACTTCAGTCAGTGAAAATGTGTCATAAGTTAGGCAAAGGTATAATTAGTGGACAGACATCTCCAGACATCCCCCAAATCTCCATCTGGAAAATGTCATGACATGTTTATAATTGAGAATCCACCCTCTGAGGTGGAAGTTATTAAAAACTGCAGACTGTAGATGAGATTCACTGTCTATAGGAGACCTTCCCAGGGGTAACCCATCCTACATTTGGGTAACAGTGAAATCATAGCATCTCATCAGAAACCCGTCAATCTAAGAAGCATTTGGTAAGAAGAAGTCGAATCTTTGGTTATGTTCTAAAAAGTGGCCCAAGACAGCCGGGCATGGTGGTTCACACCTGTAATCCCAGCACTTTAGCAGGCCGAGGAGGGTAGATCACCTGAGGTCAGGAGTTCGGGACCAGCCTGGCCAACATGGTGAAACTCCATCTCTACTAAATATAGAAAAATTAGCCAGGCGTGGTGGTGTGCCTGTAATCCCAGCTACTCGGGAGGCTGAGGTGGGAGAATTGCTTGAACCTGGGAGGTGGAGGCTGCAGTGAGTTGAGATCGAGCCACTGCACTCTAGCCTAGGCAACAGAGCGAGACCCCGTCTCAAAAAATAGTGGCCCAAGATGTTCTAAGGTGATAACAAAAAGGCAAATGCAAATAGAAAGGTGGTGGGTCTTATCCAGGCTTCCTGGAAGAGTTAAGAGGATGCCCTGTCTGGGGTCTGTGTTCTACAGAGGACCTGGGTTCTCAGCAGCATGTTATATTCTAGGACACAACCATCGTTGAATGGCCATCATTCCAGTGTATCACATTTCTCTTTCTTCAGAGAAGTCATATTGATTGAGGGATGGGCTTCTGGCTATTAACAGGCTTCTAGATGCAGTGATACTCAGGGACACTAGCATCCTCTTCTTTGTTATGGGTCTCCTAGAGGAGGAGAATAAATTGTCCTTTCCGTTTACAGGTCAGCCCTGGGCTATCTGGATGACAGCGAACTATCTCTGTGTGAACTGTTCAGGCCATGAAGGGTAGTGACAACACCAAATGACTCAGGTGAAAACATCCAGCTCCATTTTGGGCCCCAGTGTCTCTCAATGGCTGTTACTGGCCATTGGGGTGGGGGCAATTCTTTGTCATATAAAATTGTGCCACACATACTGGACACTTAGTATCCCTGGATCCCAAGTGCTGAAGGCTGTTAATGCCTCCTGGTCATTGTGACAACCCAAAAGCAGTCCCCTCCACTCCAAAACTTGTCTCCCCTTTCCTTGGCTCAGTTGAGAGCCACTGACTTGACCAATGTTTACATTTGCTCGTATTGCTCTGGTTAGGGAAAGTTTTAGCCAAGGAAACTTTATGACTAGCTAGGGAGTCATATTTGTGAAAAATGAAACTATTTCAATACCATAGGAAGGCATGGGGCTCAGGTTCTGGGGATTCTTCTCTTTACACTAAACACTATGTATTTCACAGGGAGCCCCAAGATTGCATAGGCCAGAGAGTTCAGAGAAGTGGACTCTTTATTTTGGAAGTCCAGTGGGGAAGCCAATGGCCCTCCCAAAGCCCAGCACAGTTTGCTGCCCCTAGTGGAGGCATCTTTTCTGACCTACCTCCCTGGAGAACCCACTCCACAGGATTTTCTCCTCGTTGATGAAGAGTCTTTCTCCCTTCTTGGCATAAACGTTGTAATACCCAACTTCCTTAAACATGATGGAGCCATCCTCTGGGGAGAGGTGCCAGTTGATGATGGAATAGTTCCCTACCAGGTCACCACACTCATCAAAGGTCACCTGCTCCCCCATATTGTTGGTAAAGTTGAGGTGCCGTAGGTGCTTCAGGACCTAAAGAGGAGCAGAGATGAATGAGTACAAGCCACACAACTGCCACATACGACCAATAAGGTAGGCTGTGCCCTGCACAAGAACAGTAAACTATCTTGCTCCAATGAAGTGGGAGGAACGTGACTTGAGGAAGAGGCAGCTTTTTCTAATTCACACCAAAGTACTTGCATGTATTAGCAGCAGCCCCGGTAAGCCACAGGCTTTAATTATTATTCAGTTGTAATTAGGGTAGGAAGCACCTTCTTGAAGATGGGGAAAGGAATGGGAGACATCTTACCTGGCAACTGGCCAGGTCAAAGATTCTGCAGGTGTGCCATCACCTGGTGGTGCCCCAGGAGGGGCGGGATTTATAATCTGGATCCCATCCATGGCATCTTCTGAGCTGGGCTTTGGGGAAGGAGAGTAGAAATGGCTGAGAGCTCTTCTTCTCAGCACTTTCTTTCCCTATGGTCCTGCGACTGTGGAAGAGCTTTGCTGCTAAAATTCACAGGGGTGCACAAACCCTTAGCAGGAGCACCCTTAGTAGGGGTGGAAGGAAGAAAGAGATGAAGCTGTGGGTGAAGCCCTGGCTATTATTGTTGTCAGAGCCATAGCAAATCCTTGAATTTTTATAAGGTTTTACATGTCGCAAAGTCTTTGCACAAAAAAGTCATCATGATAATTACTAACACATATCACATGTTAGCATTTAAACAGTTTAGATATCAGTCACTTGACTACCATTGAGGCACAACCCTAAGTACTTTATATTCATTATCTAATCGAATCCTCATAACAAATAGTATTAAGCTGATTTTATTGCTGGAGAAACTGAGGCACAGAAAACTTAAGTATCTCGTCCAGGGTCATAAGCCTGCATTCTTAATTGCTATACTCTACTGCAGCATCATTGGGCTCCTGCCTCTGCTTCCTCACATGCTCCTGACATCAGTCAAGAGGGGCAGTGGGTGCTCAGCCACTTATCTGTCATGTGGGGCCAGCCTTGTGTCACTGTGGCACCATGTGAGAGTAGGGCAGGGTCTAGCCTGAGAGTGTAAGACACAGCTTCCACTGTACCTCCTGAGTCTCCAGCACTTTCCCATTCTGAGCTATTTTGTTTGTTTGTTTTTTGTAGAGGCAGGGCCTCACGATGTTGCCTAGGCTGGTCTCGAACTCCTGGGCTCAAGCGACACTCCTGCCTCAGCCTCCCAAAGTGCTGGAATTAGAGGCACGAGCCACTGTGCCCGGCCACTTATCTTTTTTTTTTTTAAAGTTCAGCTTTTTATTAAACACATTATATAAAAGAGGTTTAGTCAAAAAGACCAAAGCTCGTGTCATCTTCAGACTCCTCGGATTCTTCTTTCTTTGCTTTCACTTTCTTCTCCTCAGCTGGAGCAGTAGCAGTGGAGGTGGCAGGAACTCCTGCTGGTGCAGCACCAGCTGCTGGAGCAGGTCCATCAGCCCCTACATTGCAGATGAGGCTTCCAATGTTGATGTTAGCCAGGGCCTTTGCAAACAAGCCAGGCCGAAAAGGTTCAACATTTATACCGGCTGCTTTAATGAGGGCATTGATCTTACCCTCTGTGACAGTCACTTCATTGTTGTGCAGAATGAGGGCCGAGTAGATGCAGGTGAGCTCGGAGCCTATGGCGTGGGCGAGTGTGGGGCTGGCGCTGCCGGATGTCGCCGGTTGAAGTCAGGGCCTCACCCCAACGCGGCCTTAACTTCCTCGGAAGGACCGAGTACCTTGGCGGCAGCTGAGGAAAGGCTATCATGTTTTTAAGACACCTAAAATCCAATGTCTAATCTGACAGTGGGACAAAGTTTGGGCTGGGCCCATCTAATGGATGACATTAGTAGGCCTTTCTGAGCCTACGTTAATCTGATGTGCATGACAAACATGCAGACTGAGCCAGCACCTCTCCTGTCCCATTCCACTCCAGAGATGACACTGCTTCTTAACCATTTGTATCTATACTGACTTTATTTTTAAATAAACTTTTATTTATTGTAAGGAAGATTAAATACAGGAGAGGAGTCACTTGGATTTATCCATAAGCAGCTCCAAGATATGCTTGGGGGCAAAGTCCATGATAGACTATGCATGCTCACAGGCATACCACCCTGGGCACCTCCCCTAACCTGCAGTCTGGGACCTCCTCACTGCTCCCCTGGTGGGCCCTGGCTGCCCTGACTTTTGACCAAGGCCTATGAAGGAGAGGGACCCCTCACCCCCGGCTACCTGATTCTGCAACCAGAGCTGCTGAGCCTTCCTCAAAAAAGATGGAGAATGACTCCCACTAAGGATTTGTGCCCACTGTGTTCTCCCAAGCCTTCCCACCTTCTCTGATAATTGACAACCTTATTTTTGCCTTCATTTTTACTGAGGCCTTAAGGCAGTCAGTGGAGAGGAGGTGTTCTAGACGTGTTTCTTTCTTTAACCTCCACCTCCTCTTCTTATCCCCCCTCGCTCTTAGGGTGACCTGACTTCCTCCTACCCAGAGTGGTATATATCCTTTTGTCTCTATCCCAACATACCCCTGTCCTGACACATCCTCTTGCCCTAGAGGGCCATGCAGTTCTTCTGCTCTTTAATACTGCCCCTACTCCTGCATTGCTTGAAAACTTTCTCCTAGCAACTTGGGAATCTTTCTGACACAGCCAACTATCTTCCATGCCGTAATCATGCCCTTCCAACTTCCTGTTGGGGACCTACCAAGACTCAGATGAAATGTGCTTCAAATTTCTCCAGGTAGCTTCCAAAGCCCTCCATACTTTGGTCCCATGTACCTACCATGACTTGTCAGTGCAAATGTTTCATCCTAATCATACAGTTTCCACTGTCCTGTCCAAATGCCATGCTAGGCCTGTGTGTGTAGCAGGAGATGAGATGAGTGAAGAGGTAGGAAACTATCTCTTATTTGTACTTCCCATGTGCCAGGCTGTTCTAATACTTAATACACACTATGTCATTTAATCCTCACAACACCTCTGTGGACTAGAACTATTATTATCTTCATTTTCTGCATAATGAAACTGAGGCATAGAAAGGTCAAGAAACTTGCAAAAGTCATACAGCCACTAAGTGCTGGAGCTGGGGCTTAAAATGTGGCTTTTCTGTAACACCATCCTACACCTCCAATATAAATTATTTACAGTGTCCATGGCAAATATTTGTCAGAGGTCAGTAATAACTTCCTCATTAAAATGCATATATAACGGTAAAGCTATAGTAGTTAGCATACATTTCTTTTTCCTATTTAGGTTTCAATTCCTTAGTTCTTAACATGCCAGGCAACAAGCTGCTTCTCTCTTCTGTCCACTAGTTCTCTGCAGTGGAACTCTCTGGGCATCAGGGTAGAAGTGGGGAGGGGAACTGAACAAGATCTTCTCATAATTAGGTGGTCATCTTTCACACTGGTCAGACTGGACAGACAAGTGACTTAAAGCTCAACCTGGCTGGGCGCAGTGGCTCACACCTGTAATCCCAGCACTTTGGGAGGCTGAGGTGGGCAGATCACGAGGTCCGGAGATTGAGACCATCCTGGCCAACATGGTGAAACCCCATGTCTACTGAAATACAAAAAATTAACCAGGCATGGTGGCAGGCACCTGTAATCCCAGTTACTCAGGAGGCTGAGGCAGGGAAATCACTTGAACCGGAGAGGCGGAGGTTGGAGTGAGCTGAGATACTGCCACTGTACTCCAGCCTGGGTGACAAAGCAAGACTCCATCTCAAAAACAAAACAAAACAAAACAAAAAAGCTCATCTCTGGCTACAAGTCTTCTTCATTATTGTTGACACGGGCTGGAGATTTCCACCATAATCCCAACTTAAAAGGAGAAACAATAAAAAATTATTTTCTTAAAGTTTATAACTATTCATTAAAAAACTCATGATAAATATAAGACTGGGTTTTTATACGACTGGAATCAATCAACCAGGAAATATTTAGAGGATATCCACTGTCATGAACTGGGCCACAGAACTACAAGATATGATCATCCCATCCTCATGGAGTTTTCATATAGAATAGGGGATAAAATACAAGACATAAATATTCAATGAAGCAGTAAACAGTGCAAGATAAAATATAGTTAACTGCTAACTTATGGGCTATCATCTCTAACTACAGAGAAATTCAGAGGAGATAGAAATTAAAAAGGGTTGAAATAATCAATGCAGGCTTGAGGCATAGTAAATATTTTGGCTGGCAAAGGACAGAGGGAGGAAAGGTGTTAAAAACAGTGGGAGAGCATGGGCAAAGACATCACAGTAGCAATAAACATGATGTGTTATGGGACCAGAAAAGCGATCAATTTCTCAAGAACTGTGTATGTACTAGAGAACAAAGGGAAATACAGTAGATAAGTAAAGAGCCAAGGCAAAAAAGAGGCTAGATTTCATATCAAAAAGGTATGGGATTAGATAAGAAAAAGGGTTAATAAAAATGTAGAGAACTTGGAATTCTCCATAGACTGCTGGTGGGGATGTAAACTGGTGCAGCCACATTGGAAAAAAAGTCTGTCAGTTCCTTAAAAAGTTAAACACGGCCAGACACGGTGGCTCATGCCTGTAATCCTAGGACTTTGGGAGGCCGAGGTGGGCGGATCACGAGGGCAAGAGATCAAGACCAATCTGGCCAACACGGTGAAACACCGTCTCTATTAAAAATACAAAAATTAGTTGGTAGTGGTGGCACATGCCTGTAATCCCAGCTACCTGGGAAGCTGAGGCAGAAGTATCTCTTGAACTTGGAAGGCGGAGGTTGCAGTAAGCTGAGATAGCACCACTTTAACCCATCCTGGGTGACAGAGTGGGACTTCATCTCAAAAAAGAAAAAAAAAATTTCCACAAAGAAAACCAACTCAAGATGGCTTCACTGATGAGTTCTGCCAAACATTTAAGGAAGAAGTAATACTAATTCTATAAAAGTCTTACAGAACTTTATCAAAAGGGAGTCAATACTGCCAAACTCATTCTGAAGTCATCATTACTCAGACACCAAAACCAGACAAAGATATTACAAGAAAATAAAACAACAGACCACTAGTCCTCATGAATATAGAAGCAAAATTTCTTAACCAAATTTTAGTAAATCAAACACACAAATACATGTAAAAAAAGAATATATATTATGATTAAGTAAGATTAATCCCAGGAATGAAAGTTTGGTTTGATGTTCAACTACATTAACATACTGCCAAAAGAGAAACCATATGATTATCTGAATAGATACAGAAAAAGCACTGATAACATCCAACTCCTATTCCTGATAAAAGCTCTAGGCAATATAGGAATAAAAGGGATCTTCCTCAACCCTATAAAGGGGATCTATGAATGTTAACATCACATTTAGTGGTGAGAAAATGAATGCTTTCCCCCTGAGATCAGAAGCAGACAAGAATGCCTGTTTTCACTATATCTATACAAGATTATACTGGAAGTTCTAACCAGTTCAACTGGGTTGAATCAGGCTGAATAAGACTAAAAATATGATCTATATTTTAAACTCAAACAAAAACAAGCAAACAAATAAAAAGGCCACAATAATTTTTTAAAAGTTGTTTTTTTCTTCTTTCAGGCATATTGATTAGTACAAATTAGGCTAATAAATTGTTCCTGATAAAGATTCTTAGGAGGCCTACATCCTTAAGTTAAAAATATAAGAATAATGTAAAATTTAATGGTTTCTGGATCTTTATGCCTCAATACCCCTGTTGATACTCTTAAAATCCTTACCAAAACATGTTTTCCTTCATGTAATTTATGTTGATAATAAAGCAGAACTAAGTTTCAGCCCCAGTTTATGAAGTCAGCATTACTGTTATTTTGTTGTGTGAGAGTTTTCTGACCACTTCTCTGAGATCACTGACCTCCCTTATCTAGGTACTCTCTTACTGTCCTCTCAGGGTTATTTTTGTCCCATTTTCTCTCTTTATTCATTTGTTTATTCAACAAGCATTTATTGATGAACCACTACTGGCCAAGCAGGCATTGTTTCAGGGAAAAAAAATACAATAATATTCAAGATGGACAAAGAGATGTTTAATATACTCCAACCCGGTTGGTTGTGTCCGTTCTGAATTATTTGTACACTATACTTTTTCTTTGTGTAAGGACTGAGGTGTCAGGATAATTGGTGAACACCCAGGATTCAAGGCAGCGGACAAGTGTCTTCACTTGGATACCACTGGCTGATCTGGCAGCCTCTCAGGAGCTAGAATGCATGTGGTTCCCAGAGGGCAAAACTGTTTCTTTTAGCAACTCCCTTGGCCTCTTCAGGGAACAGATCACCTGGAACAGATGTGGCTTTCTTACTAGCTAGGTATATGACTTTAGGAAAATCACTCTGACCTCTCTGGGTCTTACCTTCTTCACCTACAAAAGAATAATACTCAAGACTAATATTTACTAAACATATAGTATATGGGCACTATCCTAAGCACTCTGTGCATATTAATTAATGTTATCCTCATAATAAGCTTATACATTTCATGATCTCTATTTCTCAGGTGAGAGAGAAAAGTGAGGCACAAGGACACTAAGTGATTGCCCAAGGTCATAAAGCAATTAGGTGGCAATTAAAATTTAAACCAACTCAGTCTGGCATGAGAGCCCAAACTGTTAACCATTACACTATACTACCTACTCACATGCAGGAGTGAAATTAGACATCTATTAAGTTGTCTACATCTAGTTATAACAGGTTAACTGGCATAATATGTAGGTTGAGGAAGTGGACGTATTTTAAAAATGGAATGGTGGAGATCT